GTAGAACTCCAACTCATGGATGCGTTCAATGGCCGCATCCTCTCGTGTCCAGGCTTCATTCCTCAACTCGGTATTCTTGGTGATGTCCCTTTCTATTTCCGCCAGCTTCTCTTGATCTTTAGCATGAGCTCGACGAAGAGTGTTGAGCTCCTTAGTAAGGTTCTCATGTTGGCGGGATTGCTTGAAGATCCTTCATCTCCTAGGGCCTTGAACTTCCTTCACCAAGCTCACGTTCTGTGGTGTGCCAATCGGTGACGAGGGACTCCGTGAGGTCCAAAGGACTTCGTGCAGTTATCTTGGTCTTTGCCATAGCCTGTAGAATTTAGGAGGGGACTATAAGGATAGTTTGAGGATAATGGAGGTTAGCAAGAATAGGATTGACATTTCTTACCCAACCACTTTTAAGAGGAATTATTATGCAAGGTGTTCAAGCATGATGCATGAATCGATCTTACGAATCTGAGTACAAAAGATTTATACAATCAAAAGTACTAGATTTTTAATACATAGAACAAACCTAATCATATTATCCGCCACAAACTTTCAAATAAGATAGGATTGAGGCTAGATCAGAGGTAAGAAGAGAGAATTTTGGACTCAAAATATCTAGTTTAATTTCTTTGATCCAAATTAGTTTGAAGGTTTTCAAAAGCAACCTACAATGATCTTAGATAGGACCCGCTCTGATACCAGCTGTGGCAGAACCTCCTAAGAAATCGGGCCCACGTGCACCTATCGATGTCTCAATAGACCTCAGATAGCGTACACAAGTTCCCAACAACTTAACAGATCTGTCGGGTGTCCTCGGGAAACCCGAATCGTCCACGAATCTTTTCCAAACAGGATCCCAATCACAGTTATTGCAGATTACAACAGTTTTCAATATACAGACCAGAGATTATAAAGCGGAAGGCTTAAGTTTTGATATTACAAACCAGTTGTTTTAAACTTACAAAATCATACGTGTCATACAACCATAGTAGCAGGATAATATTACATTAACATTATTTATTTCACACAAACTAGTGCCTTGTCCAAAGGCCATTCATCATTCATCATCGTCATCGACTTCAAACACTGACATGCAGCAGGGACCAAAACAAGCCTGCGCATGCGACTCACCTACAACAAGGGTTAACAAACCCTGAGTACAAAAGTACTCAACAAGACTGACCCGGCAAGAATGCGGTAGAGTCAAAAGCGAAGTGTACATCACGTTCAGTAGCTCACCATGGTCACACCGGTGGACTTGGTGAAGGCGGAGATGGTCTAGAATGGCCTGACCACGTCGAGGCGATGGTGGTGGAGCTTCGGCCGGGCTCAGGGAAGAAGCTGTTGCGCTGGGCGACTCCGGCCAACTCAAGCGGCGTGAGCAAGTCATAGAGAAGCGCAAGACTGAGGCGATCGCTTTGGCATAACTGGGCACGACGGAGGCTGCTCGACGGTGGCAAATTTCGTGAGCGCGGTGAGGTCGTCGGCGGCGAGCAGAGGCAGGAAAAGAGGAGAGAGACGACGACGGTACGACTATTTATAGCCGGGAGGAGCTCGTCTGGCTTCGACAACACACGACGAAGATGCCACGGCGATGATGACGTGCCAGGACGCGAGGAAGCGGCGCAAAACGCTTGGCGGCGGCAGCGGCGTGGCGCCGGCGGTAAGCGGTGATGTAAATCTTGATTTTTGAATTATTTATAGAACTGCCACTGAGTCTATTTTTTTCAAATTACTCCCAAATTTTCTAAAGAAGTTGAAAATCTTCAAAAATGAAAGTTGCTCAACTTTTTAAACTCTACAACTTTGCTTCAAGGAATATTTTCAAATTCTGACTCCATTTTGAAATTTGAATTTGGGGTGCATTTGAGTATTTGAATCATTTTAAAATTACTCCAAATTTTATATGTAAACTTGAAAAACTTTGAATACCAAAGTTGATCCACATAAAATAATCTTCAACTTTGCTTTTTGCCTCAACCCCAAATTCCACATGGATTTTGAATTAGTCAAAATGGGGAAAAAGGACTTTTATAATTTGAATTTGAATTCAAATTTGATTTGTCTTTCTTTTACTTTAATTTTGATTTTTGACCAGTACATGGACCATTAGGGTTATTTGAGTCAAATGACATATGACCTCACATGATCACATGAATTTTGACCCTTGTAGTCATGATCTTTATTTAGGATTTTGAATCACATCACATGAAATAACAACATTATGAAATAAACCTTATTTAGTGAATGCATTCAAAATTTTCTACTCTATGAATGCTTTGCAATGCATATGATGACATATCAAATTTTAGTGTTAGGTCGAAACATCAAAGGTGTTACACAAGTAAAGGTTAATAATAAGATCTGGTGCTGAAGATGGAGTAGCTTGTTGTTCGGCATCTCCCTGTTGCTCAGGAACTCGAGAGAAATACGAAACAAAAGTCATTGTCCTCTTCTTCTTGTACACTGTAATGAGAAATTAGAATCAAAGAGTCGAAATTGGGAACTTGAAAATTTGGAATCAAAATCAGTTTCAGATCCAAACCTTGCTCAGATGCTCTTCTCGGCTGCTCACCTGAAAGCAAGGAGCCGGCAGGCGGCAGTGCTGCAGCGGGCATTGGGTGGGCGGCCGGCGCCCAGCAGAGGAAGAACCACGCCGCCGCAGACTGCCTAGAGCGGAGGGGTGACGCCGCGAAGCCGGACCGGAGCGCAGAGTGGAGGGCCGGAGGGGGTGAGGGGCGGCTGCCGGCAGCCGGTGCCCGGCTGGACAGCGTGGGCGACGAGCGAGGCCACGAGGGCGGGTCGGCGGGCGGCAGCGGTCGCGAGTCGCGAGCGATGGAAGACCGAGCGACTCAGCGAATAAGCACCGAGCGCCTGCTGCCCTACTCCTTCCCTGGGCTTCATGTGTTGGGCTACTTCATGAGCCAAAACTGAAGACCTGCTCCCTTAAAACATGCGTCGTGACTAGGGCCATGGCCTGGGCTGCCCTAGTGCTGGGTCCGGCCCTGCGTGTAAAAATCTAACACCAGTAGCGCTGCTATATTAATTTGTAATTAGTAGTAATGACTAATTCAATACGAGAAATTGAACGGTAGGTACGCCAGTTTGGATTCGTCTGCAACTAAGGCCCGTTCACTTCTCTCGTGAGCCGTATTGTTTCAGCGAAGGAATAATATTTTTCTCTCACAACAAATCAGCCAATAATACTTTCAGCCATGACTTTTCATGGCTGAAAGTACTATTCGCTAATTTGTTGGAGAGAAAAACATTATTTCTTCACTGAAACGGTACCGCTCATAAGACAAGCAAGCAGGAACAGTGACAATATCTAACAGCCGGCACCACCGACATCCAATCCGTTCGCTGGTTAGTTTCTGGGCTGATAAGCCCGATTAACATTGGTTTATTATGAGAAAAAAACACTGATGAACGGATGATAAGCCCGGGCCGAAACTCACGAGCGACAGTGACAGACATAAACCAACCATGCGACAGACATAAAACAGGTGACAGTGACATGTGCCATCATCATCCATATGAGATTGATTTCTTCAAGATTCAATTGGATCCGTCATTTTCGCCCTTGTTTGTACTTGTGCAGTTAAGCACGGCACGGGAAGCCTCCCATCAACGCCAGGACATCACTTGGTAGTAGTAGTAGGCCACACCCACACAGATCTCTGTGGGTACAAGGCAGATGCCGTGTAGCGGGGGTAGACCAGCTAGGCCACCACAAGATCAGATCCCTCCGATCTCTCTTCTACTAGGTTGCAGCCAAATCTGGAAGCAAATTATGCTTCGGCTACAAGGCACCTATACACCAATGGCAGTGTTTGCTTCTCTACTACTGCTTCAGTGAATCAGTCCTTGTGTTTTCAGAACTCTCTCTCTCTCTCTCTCTCAGTTGCAAGACGATGCTTAGGCCCTTTTGAAATGCTGATTTTTTCTTAATTTTCTGCGTTTTTCTTATGAAAATGAACTGAATCCTGTACTTTTTTTGTGTTCCAAAGGTACCCTTATGTCCTTAACTTGTAGTCTCGAAAATTGTTCACCTGTAGTCTCATTTTCTCATGTCAGACTAACTATTGCTCATAGATTTCGTGCACCTTGAGGAGGGAGTAAGAAAGAATAATTTAACTAGTTTGACGTGAGGCAAAAAAAAAAATCAAATGACGGGAGTATCCTTATAAGAGAGAAAATAAAGGAGCGGTATAAGCCCTTTCGTAAAAGCTATCGCCTAACTTTGGCAGAAGTTCTTGTATTGCTGATGTTCTAAGTTTGGTACCAGTCTCCATCAGTACACTCAAGTTTTCTGTATAAAAATTACATTTCCTGCAAAACCATGTGCCGTTGACTTCCTTTTTACTATAATATGTGGCATTTACTTATATATATTATCCTGAAGTCAACCATAGTGCCATGTTCTTCAAATTGAGCAGCCAAAGAAAACAGTCATCTAGGTAGATTTGGAATACTACAGAGTTGAAAATTTCTGGATAAAGGCAACAGCAGTTTAACATGTTGCTGCAGAAATCCAGTACCATGTGACATTGACTTGAGACTTCTCTTGCCCTCAAGTAATAACTTGATGGCCTAATCTTCAAATTGACCAGCAAAAAATAATTGCAGAAACGCTAGATACATGTGTACAGAAGATTAAAGACTTTGTTGAAATTGTAACAAAATTTGAACTGCAGTTTCATAGTCCAAGATAATGAATTGATAGGCAATAAGGGAACAAAAGCTTCAGCCCAACTGAAGAGCACAGAGTTCATAGCCTCCTCGGAGGCTGAGGTAGACGTGCCTCCACTTCTCCACGCACTTTTATTTCTTCATCAGATATACTAGTATGATTCAATTTGCCAGCCAGGCCAGAGTTTCAAAAGTAAACTTCAGCTCTTTTCCTTTTTTTGAGACTTTATTAAGTCTTTAAAATCCCACCCTCCTTTTTTTTTTTGGCTCTTTTCTATTTTCCTTTCTCATGGTCTGACACTCTATCAAATGTTTTTTTACTGTATCTCTTCTTCTCTTTTGATCTGCTCTGCAAACCATGCTTTCCAGTCTCTCACCTTCTCATCACCATTTGCAACCTGCACAAAGGAATAAACAGTTTTGGTTCTGTTGTCCTTCTAACGGCAAAGGTTCCTTAAAAATGAAAAGAAATGCCTCCAAAAAAGGACCAGGATCACATGACCTGATGCCCGACTGAGCTATGCATACCTCAAAAATGAGTGTCTTTCGGGGAATACTATCCAGAGCTTCCACACATATGGTAGCAGCATCCTCTTTGCTTATTCTTCCCTTGGTTGCTATGCCCTACACATTTCATGCACAATACCAAAGAGTGACACATCGCAACAATGAATAGTATAGGTATTCCAAGATGATAATATTCCTTTCAGTTTCCTAAGTCTAGAAATGCAGGTGTAATATTCAATTTGTTGACTGCAAATTATATCGGACATCTTTGAACACAATAGTGTCTAAACGTGTGTCGTGCTAATTGCATGATATCCATAGGCCCCGTTCGCTTCGCTGAAAAAATAAGCCGAAACACTGTTCCGGCTGATTTGCTGTGAGCGAAAAACATTGTTCCGTCTGAAAAAACAAGCTGAAAAAGACGGATTATAAGAGAAGCGAACAGGGCGGAATGCTGGGAAAAAGAAACTGCACGATAATTAATATGCACTGGGGGTAAGCTGGGTTTCGCACTGAGACCTCAGTAAAATCGAAACCTCTCTCGCCACCAGGGGTGCTTTGCAGAGAACCAGTTCTTATTATTGTACATGGGATGCCAGATGCAAGAACTACTTCTTCATCCCTCTCTGCTAGCTTCTTCAGCTTGCTGTTCATAATAGCTTGCAAACCACCACTATTTCTGTAGACAGCCAACTGCAACCTTATCAAGATCTCATTGGGGTAAATGACTGATACTAGAGCCAGCTGGATAAGGAATTACAAGAGCATCACAAACCTGTGATAGCAGAACAATGTGTTGAACACCCTTGAGGTCGGTCAGTTCAGAGAAGAAACCATCCTGTAAAAATATCAAGTTCAAAGGTAAATCATGCAATTGAAGAGGAATGGCACTTATGTTCTCATATAAGGTACATAACTAACTTACACATCATAAATGGTTAACAAAAAAATGCAATAGGTTGACGCATGAGTAGTTCCAAATATGTGGCGCATATATGGATAATACTAATATCTAGTTGACTCATACCATGAAATTGATTTCCTATATGAAGAGCTCTTACCATGAAAGCCAAAAGGAGGGACTCAAGTACTCAACTAAATATGTTATCTTTTATACATAATAAAAATATCAAGCAATGCCCTAAACATCAGGTCATCAGCTAGAGGGCCTTAAACAATTATCCAGATAATAAAAACAGTACATGTCATGATTATTTTTTGGGCAGATAATACACCTCATGCTTTGGGAGTAGCTAATAAATGAACAGAAACATCAAAGTTTTACATACATACATCAGCTGGACAAATTACAGCACGAACGCCGCTTAGTGCTTTCTTTGTGAAGGACTTATCTTCCATATCGCCAACCATGCACTAGAAATAAACCAAAATGTGATTATTTGAGTGATACGCGTTATACTTACCAACAAAATATTACTGTACAAGATGGAACAGTAAAATGCATGCATTGTTTGTTTTATAGCTAATTTCAAATCTAAAAGATAGCAGTAATGCAGAATGTAACAATATCTGAGAAACATATAGAATGTTCAAATACAGTCAGAGCACTGAAGTGTCACCTCCACATAAGTTCCAAAAGCTTCTTCAGTGGTTCGTTTATCCTTAACAAGTGCTTTTGTTCTAGCCCTTTTCAGAATTAGTGCTAATATCACCATCTGAAAATACAAGGAAACCAACTTGAATCTTTTGTCCTTGCTTTGTAGCTAAGGTATACTAGTAAAAGTTCAGTTTTTGTTGAATGAACTGAACCGTTAGGTGTTTCCTTAATGAGAACTTTATGCTCAAAGAACAGGTTGTGTTAGTCTGGATTAGTCTTACTAGAGTATAGTGTCCAGTTCAGATTACTGGGGGAAACAAAATGAAGACAGACAAATTACAGGATGACTCTAATAAACTCGTACAATGGCAGTTCTGCCGCAGAAGGAAAAAGAAAATATGGAGATAAAGGGACACCTGTCCAACCTCACTGTCGCCATTAGTGACTAGCATAGCATCCCGAGGCTCCTCAATATCTACTGTCACCCCAGATCTGCCAACAAATAAGAAAACATAGCCGCCAAGGAGTTTAAGTTTACAGAGTGCTTTCTCTATGTACCTTGAGACTCATCCTCCTCATCCTCGGCACCCCCATCCTTTGGAAGCAAATCGGGTGCTCCATACCATCTCCTTAACTTTGGCCCCCCTAGCAAGATTCGAAACGAACGACTCAGGGTCAGGGCGTGCTAGGTTAGCTAGTAGTCCTGGCTCACTCTGCCACACTGACAATGTAACCATTAACCAGGACCCAATCAGATAAACAACTACAGAAAGATGATTTTTCTTTAGTGTTGCAACTGACTGCTGACTGAGTGATCCGTACCTAATAAGAGCCAAAACTCATTTCTTTTCAAGAATTTTAAATCCCACTATGCCGATTCAGGAAAATATTCAGGCACCACAAAACGAACATCGGCTCCACCTCAGCGAGTCACCTTCCAAGAAGAATGGCCCAGTCTGAGCCAGTATAACTCACATACCCTCGATGTAGTCGAGGATGCGGTCGGTGAAGCTTGCCTCGTCCTTTCTCTTGGCCCGGACGACGGCGAGAAGCGCCGGCCTTCTTCTTCTTCCCGGAGAGAGCAGGGCGGCGTTACCCCTGTCCCCGGCGCGAAGTGGAGGCGGCGTGGGGGAAAGGCGCGGGAGCAGGGGAGGCAGGGGCATTGGAGTCTCGGCAAGGAGGCGCACGAGAGGAGAGAGAGGGAGGGAAGTTTGCCTGCGCTCGCGCTCTCCGGCGGATTTCGCGTGCGTGACCGTGGTTGCCCGCTGCGGGATAACGCTTCGACGGATCACGGATGGCCGTAGCCTGGCGCCGCGACTTTCTTGTCGAACTGTTATTATATGGGCCTATTGCCTAATTAGGCCCAGGGAGCCGAGCTACCGTGCGCCAAGCCCACCTAGAGAGCCCGATCCTCTATCATGGGCTGCAAATAGCTGTAGCTGGTTCACGGCCCATGACTAGTCGAACGAACCCGCCTGCGGCCCCAACGCATCGCGCTAGGGTTTTGCGGCGGCGGCGGCGGCCTGTCCTTTTAAAGCTGGACTGCTCGATTCTGCCGAGCCTTCTCCCTCGGTTGCTGTCTTCTGTTAGGGTTTCGTCCGGGCGGTGCTCCGAAATCCCTCTCCTCGCTCGCCTTCGAGGCTAGGTAGCCGCCATGAGCCGCTCGGGGCAGCCTCCGGATCTCAAGAAGTAAGCGCCCGCACCTGTCTCCCCCTTCATATTAGATCCTGGTTTGCTCCGTTCCGTCGTGCTGATTTGGGTTTGTTTCCTGTGACGTCGCAGGTACATGGACAAAAAGCTTCAGAGTAAGTGATACGCTCTCGATCCCACAATCCAGGCCCCAATAGTTCACCTGTAGTTTTGCTTCAAGAAAGTTTTTGCTTTGATGTTAAGGATGGAACATGCATGCGTGTGCCCAGTATGTTTAATCTTAGCGGCGATATGCTCACAGTGATGATTAGGGCGGCACCCAGTTTTCTTTCTTTGTTAGGTCTGTGTACATGAATCAAGTTCTGTGTGGTTTCTCCTGTTGTGAACTTGCATCAATTGCTTTTGCGCCAAAATATATTGTTTCAATTTTTTTCTGTCAATTTGAACATCCTTTGTGGTTCTAGTTTGTTCTTCAGCCTGACTATTCAGAGACATTGTTTTCTGTGATCTGTTTGTGATCTTGGTATTTGAATTGCCCTAAATGATGAACATAATATGAAGGCTATGGATTCATCTCCAGATGATGCTTTATGTCATAGTTACTCTGATAGGGCATTCACTCGCATTTTCATTTCATCTATGTCATGTTGTACTTTATAGAATTATTATAAGCGTCCTGATAGGTGTTTTGTAGCCATCGCCATGATAGTGTGGTGACTACTCTATTGGTTCTGCTGTCATGATTTCTCCCTCATTTTTGTAGTTACTATTCTGTTCAAAATCTTTGTGGGATGGCTGCCTACATGACGATGATTTTCTAAAAGCTATGGATTAATTTCCAAATGAGGCTTTTTTTTTGTCATAGTTACTCTGATAGGCTGCCATATCTACCTTGTCGAGCATTCAGGCATTAGAATTTAGAGGCCTGGTCCATGACTATATATTTATAATGAGATTGAGGTTTCATTGTACATGCAGCCACAAGGATTCTTTTTTGTATTTTTTCCTTGGGTGTATTTTTGTTATATCTTGGAGGTGCTGAGTTAGATTAATATTTTGCCATTGAAATTATGAGTGGCTTATGTGTTTACTGTTTGTCCATTTCTTCAGTTAAGCTGAATGCAAACCGTGTCGTTATTGGCACACTTCGTGGATTCGACCAGTTCATGAATCTGGTGGTGGACAACACTGTGGAGGTCAATGGAAATGACAAGACAGATATTGGAATGGTGGTAAGTTTTCTTCTACTGAAGGTTATTTGGAACTTTTTCCACGTGTGCTTGTGGTCAAGCAGTTTTTAATGATGTTATGAGAATGCTTAAAAAATACAGTTTTTTTCTGAAGTCGTGCTTTGTAACTCGCATAATATAACAGACTATAATTATCTGCAGGTTATCAGAGGAAACAGTGTTGTCATGATCGAGGCACTGGAGCCAGTTGCCAAGTCGCAGTGAATCATCATTCTTCAGCTGATGTAGCACTAGCAGCGTGAAAACTGATGTAAATGATATCAGTGAACCCTGTTGTACTTTGACTAATGCTTTTGCACAGCAACATAACTTTGGAGGTGGAATGTCTATCCCTTTTTTTCTATGTGGTTCTTGTGGCTATGCAATGCAATCATCTACCCTTATTACTCGATCTAACTCAAGCTCATCTACATGGTTTTTTCTACCATGTCACCTTCACAGCAGGCCTGGCTACCAGTGCTGGCTCCTGGTTCAACGGTGACTACATTTACTGCCTTCTCGGCGCTAACACTGGCAATGAGACATTTCTTCTACTGTTCTACATTTCCCATTGCATTGTGAGGCACATGTGATTTGTGATCCATCATCCATAGTGGTGCATCTGGTCTGCCCATGTGTATCTACTTTAATCCACATGTTGGAGTGGATTTGAATGGACTTAGTTTAATTCCATTCCAACACATGTGGATTGAGATGAATACATGCGCATCCAAATAAGGCTTTAATGGACTCAGAATCCGATTCTTCCATGGTTCTATTGTTCTACACGGCATGTTGCTTTCTGAGGGACATGTTTTGTGGTGCATCTGTTCTGCCATTCTGATGCCATCGGATTCTTCTATTAGCTATTTGATTAAATAATAACTATACAGACGCCTCTCTGTTGTGATACCGAATACATAAAGCCGTGCATTTCTTTCAATACCTAATGCACAAAACCGCGGCTGCTCTTTCTTAATGCTAGACTGCCTGATAGACTACTGTATCCTTTTTGTACCCTACCAATTTTACTTTCTGCCATGTCGCTCACGTAGCTCACTCATGTCGTTTAAATTGACCAATTAGTTATGAAGTTTTTGTGGCATTCTGGGAATCTGAAGTAAGGTTTTAGCTAACAGTGTTTTGATGCAAAGTCTTCAGCAGAAACCCTGTGGAGTGCAGATCAGCAGAAACCCAGTGGAGCACAGAAATGGTCACCCAAACCAACCGAGCAGACATTTTTGCTGATGTTGTCGAAATAGTTTCTTGCTAAGATTGTCATGCTTTTTACGTAAGATAAGAAAAAAAAATACAGGACGCCTTACTGACTTTAGCAATGAGAAGGCATATTTTGAAGTGGTCGATGCTTTTGAGCTCATGGAAAGTCCTAAGAACCTTGGCTCGTGGACCTAAGGAATGGAGCAGAATCATATAATTCATGATTCATGATCTGCTTGCAATACTCGAGAGGTGGAAATTTTCAATACTTGTAGTATCACTTAAGCCGTTGTTGGACATTATGGAGACACCAATCTTATCATTAATCCTCACTAATAGCAGTACATGTCCCAACAACTTTGGCTCGAGGACAAAGGATAAGAACTTTGGCTCGTGGGCAAAAGAATGATTCATATAATCACATAATTCATGATTTGTCTGCAATATCAGAGAGATGAAAAAATTTCAGGCTTGCAAAACATGTATCATCCAAGCCTTTAATTTGTTTAACATTACGGAGACAACAATCATACCATCAATCTAATTTTCAGGCTTGCAAACGTGTATCTAAGCCCTTGTTTGACATTAAGGAGACAAGAGTTGTACCATCAATCCATCCTAAGTAACAGTAATACATCTCAACTTTGATTCGTTGATTGAAGCAATGGAGCAGAATAACTTAGCTGATGATCTACCTGCAATATTGGAGGTGGAAAATTTCTAGGCTTACAAGATGTGCATCATCCAAGCCCTTGTTTGACATTATGGAGACACCAATGTACCAATAATCCTTAGTAACAGAATTGCATCTGCTTCGAACTTGGGCTCATGGACCAAAAGAATGGAGCAGAATCACGCAATTCATGATCTGCCGGCTATATTGGCCAGGTGAAAAAAATTTAGACGTGAATCATCCAAACCCTTATTTAACATTGTTGAGATATCAATCTGCAGTAACAACAGTACATCTCCTAAGAGCATGACTAATAATAATACGACCCGTTGCTGGCTGTATATGTAGTATATAACCCATCTATCAGTCCACTCATATAATAGTTGTTTACTGAACATGCTCCAACATTAATACATGGCATCCCCATTTGACCTCAACATGGCATCTCACGTGTACTACACGGCGCTGGTTGATCCCTTGATAGAGACGTCGCGGTTTCTTCGTGAAGAGGGAGGTGGTGTTCCTGATGGCGCACATGAGGCGGTGGGAGCGCACAGACAAGAAGTTCTTCGGTAAGACGTGGAAAGTGACGCCGAGGTTGTGCTTACCTGCCTGTCTGCTTTTCTACATGTTGCCTTGCTGCTGCTGCTGCTGCTATTTGTCTTCGTTTGTTGCGTGATAGATTCAGTTATAGGCTCCTTCAGGCTTATGACTTGCAACTGTGTATCAGTATTCTGCAATAGATCTGAATTTTACCTGTTTTTCAATTCTATGGACCATTGGTTGCTCGATTTTTTCTTCAGTAAATAATGTTTGTATCTGTACTCTGGCTGTTTATAAAAAATATTAGTGATAGCAACCCTGACTGTTTATATGTAGTAGCATCCCTGACTACTTATTTACATGTTAATAGAGCAAAGGATGTCACGCTAATCTTGTGCGTTGCTACTCAGATTTTTAGTAGGAGCTTTTTTAGAATATTTTTTCAGAGTTGTGTTGGGTTTCAAAGTCAGGGATATCTCATTTTTCTTGAAAGACATACCACACTGCCATTTATTTATTGCCACCTAATTCCTTTTCAACATAAAGATATATAGCTCAGGACTGATACTTTTGAGGAATTTTTCAAAAGGTCAAAGCAATTTGCTAGTAGCAATCTTCCTAGAATTGAAGTTTGTGTTCTTGAGAAAATAATTAGCTACTATAATGATGATGAATGCCCTTGTAGCACTTCGTTCTTCTCCAAATTTCAAGTTTGTAGGCTGTTTTTTTCATTAGCAATCTTCCTAGTTGTAGCATGCCTATTAATATAGTCATATGTCTGTCTTTACAAAGCTAACTTGGTCAGTGGATAGGAAATCACACATAGTCAGAAATTAGTTATAACAATTAACCATTTTATGCTAACACTATATTCATATTATTATGATATCTACCATTTACCAAAATCTAAGATATATGAAATAGATGCAGGCTGTTACTCTCAAGCAAAAATGAGCAATAGATGCAGCAGGCTACTTTGTTCTTCTCCAAGCAATTTACATGTAGTACTAGCTTGCCTATTAATATTGGTCCATATTATTATCTTCACAAGCTAATTTAGTGGATATTCTGTAGGCCATGAGATCGACTCTGTAGGTCAATGGATATTCAACTATTATCTGCAGCCACAGTCTTTGTTCTCAGGCTAACAGAGTCTAGCATTTGAACTTTTGTGATGTTTTCATAATGTAAACAAAGCTTGTATCTATTTTGCTTGTAACTGTTGTTGCAAGGAGTTGTTTGAACTCCATCTATGTATATACTTTGCTTGAAAGAACTTTGCTGTTGCCGAACACTCTCAAGTGAGAATTCATTGCTGCTTGTGTTGACAGGTGCCAACAGGTTTAAAAAAATCCGTTATATTACATTACATATAAATTTAAATATACTATTTATATTGATGGTTCCAAAAAAATATTATAACCACGCTCATCTTATTATTTTTTGTTTGATCTGTTTTGTATCAATAAGCATCACAATGGTTTATATGAATAATATTCACACTTGATCTTAACTACTCCCTCCGGTCCATTTTATCTGGATGCCAGTTAGGATGATACGGTCTCCTAGACTACACTTTGACCATTCATTTGCTTCATATTATATTATTTATGCTTATAAACTTATATTCATTGGATAGTATAATTCCTTACAAATCTAATCATATAAAGTTTGTATTATAATAGTTAAAAATTATTAGTCTAATTATTGGACAAAGTTTTTAAAGTTTGAATCTTGATATGCGTAAAATGGACCGGAGGGAGTATATGCAAGCATTAAGGAAACAATAGACAATCAAACAAACATTGTATTGTACAAGCTGTTTGTTTAGTCGTTTATTTGTTTGTCATGTGACATCATCCTACAACTAAAAAAAACAAAGTGTGGATATTTTTTGGTGCGACATTTGTTTTGATTCGTCTGTCTGCCCACGCCTGCGATCCCATGACATCTTAATTACTGATTGATCGTGCCGTTTTCCTTGATTGAATATTGCCTATCATGTGATAGAGGAATCACGGCAAAATAGAAAGTAGAAAGTTATCGTGCTATCCATATACACATTGTATGTTTGCATGCACCAGCATACATGGCAACGAGCAAAAGGAATGAGAATCTTCTACAACTAAAAAAACTAAAAGTAAGACTATTTTTTGTGCGACTTTTTTTAGGTCACTCCTCCCTTCCGGCCATGTGATACCCCGCGCGATGGAAAAAAGAAACTGCCATCCCTGTGATCCTTGCCTGCTTTGAAGAAAATAAATCGATCACCTAAGGCCACATGCATGGAAGGAAACAATAATCATGCATGGAAGGAAACAATTGACAAAGATCAAGTAAGACTTCTCCATTCCGGCCATGCGATATCCCGCGCCATAGAAAAAGAAACTGCCATCCCTGCGATCCCCGCCTGCTTTGAAGGAAACAAATCGATCACATGAGGCTATATGCATGGAAGAAAACAATAATCATGCATGGAAGAAAATAATTGGCAAAGATCAAGCAAGACGACTCAATGGGTTGGCCCTTAATTTTAGTGTTTCCAGCATGAAGACCTGAAAGTAAAAAGTGGCTACTCCTTGAGAACATTAGTGGTGCCAAATAAAAGATGTGCAAGTTATACATGGTGAGACTGGTGAACCTTTAACAATTTCCTAAATGAATATTCCCACCATTCATATATAGGTCCATTCCCCAGTGTTTCTTCGTGCTCCAATTAGCATATAATATGAAAGTATTGTTGTGTTCATCACGACTTCCAGTTGACTACTCCCATTAGCATATACTTTCT